ATTAGACATAAGGAAAATATACTTTTCATATATTATCCCATTTAATCTTGCATCAGCTTTACAGGGACAATATTATTCTCTCTCTACTTTTCAAAAGAGAGAATTGTAAGTCTGAGAATGATTAGGTGACTTAGTTCTTAAAGATTCAAACAGAAAATCTACTCCGAAGCCCAAGCTCTTACCTCTTCTATATTGTCTGTCTGTCTCCCTCTCTTTGTCTCCCACTCTCCTTATACAATATCCTCAGTTGGTATTTCATTCAGGTCAAAAAGGGATAATAGTGAATTACAATGAAATAAAGAGATGAACTGGACTTTGGGGTTAGGCTGTCTTTGTGAGCTGTATTATCAGAGGTCAAGTTATTTAATCTCTCCGAGACTTAGTTTCCTTAATCTTTAGAATTGGGGTTCAGATATGGGCTTCATAAATTTATTAGGATGATTAAATGAGTTGACTTTATAACATATAAAACCTCTGGCAGTTGATTCTCAAATCTAGGATGCTCACTGTGTGTACAACCAAATACAATACAGTGAGGCAGTGTCATGAGTGTTGTGAAAGAACTGGGCACAAGGAACAATTGAAACACAAACGAGGATCCGAAAGAAAGAATAAAAAAAAATAAAATAAAAGAATATGGGGGTTGTGAGGGAAGGAGGTTACTTGTCCCAGGGACTTGAAATAAGGGGTTTTAAAAATGTGAGCCTGATTTTTCAGTGTGAGATTTTTGGAAGCTGAGACAAGGAAGCTTAGCCTAGAAGGCAGTGACACCTTTGAGGAGGAACAGGGTTCTCGGGTTTTCGTCTATAGAAGCTGTGTGCGCAGCAGACTTTGTGGCTCTTAATTCACCATGGGAAGAGGGAGGTCAGGCCTCAGAATTCCTTGAGAATTACTTGAAAATCTCTAGTTCATGACTAAGAAATATTAATGATCTTTATAGAAGGAATATACAGTTGCTTTTCTGGGCTTCCCTTGGGGAAAAACAGTCCGCATCAGTTACTTTTGATTTTTTTTTCTTTTCTGAAAACAAAACAAAGCAAATCTGAGCCAATGCTTAAAGGCAGAGGACTGTGTATGCAAATAAAATGTTCAGTTGTTACTGCCCTCTGAGTAACCATGGCTGGGTCACGTCAGCAGTCTGTACAGAAAACAGATGAAGGAATTCCATGAACCTCTGTCCAACATCTGCCTTGCGCCTGGCCCTGTGCTAGGCATCTGGTCCATAGGACAGCCCAGCCCCAGCCCTCCCTTTCATGGTGTTCCATGCAGTGGGGATGGGCAGGGAGTGGGGGGAGGGAATACATAGGCCAGTTAATAACTGCTAGTGTCACATCAGATGGGGGCGCATGCTATGACTAAAATACTGCCAGACAGTAGAGTAAACAGACTATAGCTGGGGCTGGACAGCCAAGAGACTGAACCACATGCTCTGTACAGTAGTCAGATGGGGCTTCTCCTAGGAGGCATCAGTTGAGCAGACATTCCCATACAGTGAAGGAACCAGTCATGGGAGGTGGCAAGAATCATGTTCCAGACAATTCTTCAGAGAGTCAGCTCAGCAGAATGCTAGGGAAGGAAGTCAAGTCAGGAAGGAATGCGGACTTAGTTGTGAAATGTGGGGGCAACAAGATGTCTCTGCTGGTTCCTTGTCTTCAGTCTCCACATTCTATCACAAATCACAAACATAGTGTGTATGTGTTTATGCATATATCTATCATCTTAATTGACTGCACTTCAGGTACACGGAACAGGCTAATGTATCCTAGAGTTTTTCCCATCATTGAAAGGTCCCTTATGACTAGTTTTGGGGCAGTGAACAGACGCCGGCCACATCTGCCACCACTATCTTATCCTACACCGATGCCAACACTACCAATCCATCATGGCGGCCGCCACCACTGGGCAGCCCTCTTGAAACTGAGTGAAGACAGAATCACTAGTGGGTGGCATTAACAAGGGAGTTGGAACCTTCTGGCCACTGTGGGCCAGTGCTCCAGGTTCTACTCCTATAGTCTTATAGTCTCTGTTTTGTAACATAGACAAGGAAGTTAAAGTGGACCTTGCAAATCAGAACAGAGTGGGCATAACAGGATTGTGGTGTCATCCAGTCAGAGGAGTGATTGGAAAACAAGCACTGACGGTGTACACATGGGCATGTATGTATAGGCTGGGCCAGTGACAGCACTCTGATGAGACTGGAGACCTAATCTCACAGGGGCTTGAGGATAGATATTTGTGTATGGAGACTTCAGGTGGAAAAAAACTTAGTGCTGAGAATTACAGAGCATTCCAGGCCAGTAAAGGAATGCCCCATAGTAAAACAAAATCATCAGGACAGAACAAGGGAAGGGCTGACAGGAGCAAAGGGTGAGAGGAAGAGAACTCATTGTCCCAGTGAGAATGGACTCAAGGATCACGAGTCTGAGAAGAGTTAGAAATGGGATTACCAAAAAAAAAAGATTTTTTACCCGCAATGAATGGTGAGAATTGATCCTGTCTGACCACAGCACCCTCTGTGTTCTGGCATTTTATGTGTATGCAGTAACCTGGCATAAGAGCCACAGCCAGTGGGAATGATGGGGACTTTTTCTCCGATGGTTCTGATTTCTCTTGGATCCACCTTTCCTGTTGCCTGAGAGCTGCTGCTGCACACTTACTTCAAGGTGTGCTCTGGCCTCTTGCTTGCCTGGCAATAACCCACTGTGGCCAGACACAGGCTGCACAAGGACTCTCATCAAAAAGGGGCTTACCCAGAATATATCACAGCTCTCTGGGTTTGCAAACGTCTACACAAAACACCCAAAGACTAAGACCTTAGGACTCATGACAATAAGTACCATTTCTTAATTCAGAAATGTTATTGACTCAGTGTGGTCCATTGTGACATCATGCAGAATACTCATTTTTAAGCGTATTTTGTGTATTTGCTAGCAGGGTATAAGTTAAAGTGGCAACCACAGGAAAGGAACAGCTAAACCGGCCATATTCCCATCCATGCAGAATGCATGAGTGACTTGTCACATTTTTCATGCTCTGCTCTATTTTAAATTGAATTCTTTATACTACTGATTCGAATGGTGGAAGAGAGTCGGGTTAATTCAAATTGATTGGGACTGACAAGATTAGTCCTGAGGATCCAAGCAGTATTGTACAAAGATTTGCCAAAGGCCAAGCTGGCTAAGCTACCATTTCCAAGGTCTCAATGATCTTTAAGTTGGGTTTTCTTCCAAGTTGGGGTTATTTTTCTTTCATCTGTGAGGAGTGCAGTTTTAGTGAAATTTTAAAGTGATGCCTTTAGTTGGCTGCGCCTAAGGAACAAGAACAAACACGATGAAGATGGTTTCGAGATGATTTGGTACATGCATGAGAAGCAAGATCGTATCATAATGATGATCTTAGCATAGGCACCTCCATCCTCTCCCTCCTTCTCCCACTAATGTCTTAGCCCCCATCCCTGCTCCCATTTCTCCCTCAATGAGCTGTGTGGACAACCTACTGTGTGTGCTTTCATATGTTTTCTATACTTACGTAATTTAATTATAAAGGTATATAATATCCATATTCTAGAGAGTGTCTCAACCTCGGTCCTATTGACACTTTGGACCATGTTAGTCTTTGTTGTGGGGCCTGTCCTGTGCATCGTAGGAGGTTTAGCAGCATCCCTGGCTCCACCTACTAGATGCCAGCAGCATCCTCCTCCCATTTTGATAATCAAAACTATTGCTCTGGTTGGGAACTACCGATATGAAGCCTTAGTTTTATAATTTTTTTTTTTTTGCAAAAAGAAACCATTTGGTGCCCTTTTTTATACATATTTGCTTTTCTAAATAAAAAACCATTGACAAAATTATTTCACATATAATATGATGCTATTTATTGATAATTACTTTTAATGAGTGCTTCATATTCATATTCTTCATAGCGTTGTTCATAGACTTACTTCACCCTTCTTACACTGATGAGCATTAACATGGTTTCTAGTCCTTAATCTCCAAAAAGCCGTGCTTCAATGAGCACTGCAGTGCATGTGCTTTTACTGATTCCCAGAAACAGAAGTGTGGCATAGGTGTTTTTAATTTTACTAAAGATTGCCTGATTGCTTGATGATGATATTTCGAAGAAACTTTAAAAACTATAAAGTGTATAAGATTGACATTACTCTGAAACCTTAATAGAAAAGTCTATATAGAAGTGATTACGTAAGTGATTTTTTTAACATGATAAGAAATACGGACAATTCAAAGTTTGCCTTTTGTTTTTAGTTCTATAAATGACAACAAATATATTGTTACCAACTTCATATGCATTTTTTCATATTAAACATACAATCTGACATTCTGTCTTTAAATAACTTACTCTTAAATATACAAAATTTGGACACGGGGAAAATTTTTAAAACTCAAAAAGTGGTTAAATGACATGTATATATCTCTCCCTCCCTTTTTTGTCTCATGAAGACTACTTCCTTTTCTAGGACACATCCGATGTTTTTGTTTTCCTAATTTATTGGGCCTTTTAGTATCATTTACATTGCTTATAATCTGTTGCTATGTTAACGCTTTAATTTTTGTGCAGGAGGGAGTTCAGATTAAGGTTTTTGAATGACATCAATTAAAATGAATAAACAGTGAATTGAAACTTCCATGCCTACAGTGGTACTTCTTCCCATAGTTGAAACATAACCCGTGTTAAGTATTTCAAGGCCAGAAGTGAAAACGGAGAGGGAGGGGTGGCCTGGATTGAAGCGGTATTAAGTGATGAAATAATAAGTACATGCCTCCTAAGTTTCCTTAGCGTTAACGGTTACCTGAAACTTTGCAACTTAACCTCATTTCTCAAGGCACAGTCTGGGTAATGTGTCACCATCAAATGATTGATGAAAATAGCTCCATTTGATACCTTGGATTATTTTAATATACTATTTTAATCCCGAGTCAACAGTTCAGGACAGCTTGTAAGCAACACGATTTCATTTGTTATGCTTTTTTCTCCCTTTATAGAGTTCTGCAGTTGAAACAGAAAAGCTTTATCTGATTTCTGAATTCCAAGATCATACTGCACAGTGGTAAGAAAATTGAGGGTTTTTTTTTTTGTTTTGTTTTGTTTTTTAGATTTTTCTATCAGACTTCTCAACACAAAAATTAAGATTTTTGTTTGTTTGTTTGACTTGAGTGACCCAGCCAGGGTGATGTTGGGAGATGCTGTCTCTGGCGAATGTTGTGCTGTACACATAGCTGTTTTCTGTAAGTAGAGGCTGCTGGGATCTTCCCTGGACTTGGCGTGTAGCAGGGAGAAAGACAGGACTAATGTAAAATTAAGCAAAACGTTTCTCTACTCTTTAATAGGGTTACCTTAAAAAAAAAAAACAGACAAATAATACATATGTTGCAAAGTTTGAATTTTGTGGTGAGCTTCCCAGCTCCAGTGCAACAAAAGAGTGTTACTCTCCAAGCTGTTGGGAGTAGAAGTGTTAGCTCCAAGTATCACTGAGCTTTGGGACTTTGCTTGAAGCCTTTGGTTATTAAGAGAAGGTCTTGTTCTGTTGTTTCCACTCGTGCAATGTACTTGGACTTCTCTAATTCTTTTCTCTTAGGTTATTTCTCCTATGAAGAGAGATTCTCTTTACGTCTCTTCAGTATTTTGGATACATGCCAACTTGCAATGAAATAATCCCATTTGTTGCATCTTGGTTTGATATCTTGCATGGAATTTATAAATAATTCCTGTTTAAATTTATAAGTTATGTCACTATTCCACTAATAATTGAGCATAGCAACTGTTACTGTATTGTTACCAACCTCATATGCATTTTTTCATATTGTATTGTATTGTAAACATACAATCTGACATTCTGTCTTTAAATAACTTACTTTTATACAATGTTTGGACACGGGGAAAATTTTTAAAACTCAAAAAGTGGTTAAATGACATGTATATATCTCTCCTTCCCTTTTTTGTCTCATGAAGACTACTTCCTTTTCTAGGACACATCCGATGTTTTTGTTTTCCTAATTTATTGGGCCTTTTAGTATCATTTACATTGCTTATAATCTGTTGCTATGTTAACGCTTTAATGGTCATCTTTATACGTATGTCATCTCTCCTATGTGTGAGCATTTGGCCTGAAAAAAAAAAAAAAAGACTACCACTAAGTATCTAAAGCAAAAACCTAACTGTTGGCTTATGAAATGGGACAACGATGCTTGTGGGACACAGTTCTGTCAAAACAAAGCAAAAGCGGATTATATGGGGTTTCTGGAAGCATTGAATTCAGGAGCTGAAACACTCTGGGAAGCCAGAGTGTTTGGAAATTGGTTGAACCTTGGCCATGGAAGCTTGGCAGTTTGAGTGTGCCTGTGGCTGATAGCTGGATTCCAGAAATGCGGGGCTGTTACTGATTGACTGGCAGTGTGTTACTAAAATGGATTTTCACTGATGGATTTCAATGGTATGAAAACAGATTGTGTGTGTGTGTGTGTGGGGGGGTGTTTATACTTGTTTATTCAGACTACGGCCAAAGGACAATTATCCTTTTCCTTTCTTGAAATTGAATTGAGTACACAATCTTTAAATTCTCAACTGCATGAGAAATTCATGAAAAACGGAAGTGCTGGGTGAACCAGTATGAGCATTTTATGTTCTGATTGACTTGCACAGAGATTTACCAATTTGCACTCCCACCAGCAATGAATGACAGTGCTCATTTCCCCACGACATAGCGCATCGTATAGTTTGTGATCTTTGTTAGACCGATGAGTGAAATAGAGTATCTTCCTGCAGTTTTACGTTGTCCATTTCTTAGAATGAGTAAAGCTGAGAAACTTTGTATATGCTTGAAAGTGATTATTTTTTCTGTAAACTTCTGCTGTCATCTGCTCATTTGCAATTGAATTTTTAAAATATTGACTTTTTAAAATTTATATTTTGATAGATTTAGGAATGCACGGTTTTTGGTTACGTCGATTAATTGTATAGTGGTGATGTTAGGTGTTTAGTCTGCCCAGGACTTTGTATATTAATTATCCCTTTATATTAAGAATTGTAAATATTTTCCCCAGTATGTTCTTTGTCTTTTGATTTTGTTTATAGTGTTTATTTGTTGGGAGAGCATGTATAAAAACATACTTTGACACATGATTGATTGTTTTTTTAAATTGTCCTCTGGGTGTTGTATTATAGCTGGAAAGAATTTCTTATTTTGAGATTATAATTTTTTATGCTTTCTCCTAATACTTTTATGGCTTCATTTTCATTCACTATTCTGGAAATTATACTAGTGCAAGTGTGAGGGAGGAATATGAGTAGATGCTTAATTGTCCCAATACTATTTTTTTGGATAATACATTATTTTCCCACTAATTTGAATTATCATTTTTGATGAAAACTTAATTTTCATAAATATATTGATTTATTTCTGACTTTTCTTCTTCAATCCATTGATTATTATGTTGGCTTTTTTATTTATCATGATATCACATGCATTTGTCTGTTAATCGGGCTCCCTACTAATCGCTGTGGTATTTATAACACATTAGGTGAGTATTCTATAATTTACTCAGCAACTCTCTTTTTTGCTACTCTTTATTTAATACTGGGGGTATTTGGGCTACAAATTGCTTTCCAATGGCTTTATCTCTGTTTATTCCATAAATCACCCTTAGTTCTGGGGCCAGGTTTGGAAATCTCTATTTTAACGAGTATTCCAGATGATTCCAGTGAAGTCTAAAGTTCTGTTGCACACTGCTCTTTGGGGTTGCATCTGATCACACACAGCTACTACTATATAACATGACCCAACGAGTGATGGTAAATGATTAATTTTCAGGTGATGGCTTGAATTTTGCCAAGTTCACACATTGTAGATTTATACATAGATTCACTTCTGTGTGTATATAAATACATGTAACCCTATTACAAATGAATGCTGCTGTGAAGGGGAGAATTTATTTGGTATGATATTTTTAGAAAAATGAAGTTCTTGAGATTTGATGCGAGTCCATTTAAGAGTCCCAGTTTTCACAGGGATTGGAGGGGGCTACTCAACGGTCCACCTTAAGACCAAAAGGGCAAAAGTACAGGAGGAAGGCCAAGCGATGATTTCATTATACAAATGAAATGGGAAAATGCAGTGAAATTCCATCCATCCCTGAGGACTGACTCCATTTAGAGGTTAGAAGAGCAGGCTGGAGTGATCTCACACTTACGGGCTCTGTAACCGTCACTCTCAGCAATTGGTAGAAGGCTGGTGACTAAGGATGAAAGGATCAGCATGTGAAGTTTGTAGCTTTAACAACCCTTCCGTTGGGTACCTAAGAAATAAAATAAATAACTGATACAGATGGCCTATCCTCTGGTGAATAGCAAGAAACGGGTGTCCAAATTAGGTGGGTGAAATCCATAGCAAATACGAGATAAGAGCCTCAGTCGTGAGTTTCAGTTCAGTGTCAGAGGCAGACTGCTAAGTACATATTCTGATGTCATAGAATATTTGTGATAAAGAAGATAACTGGAAGGAACTGGCTTGGGAAATACTCAATGCAAAAAAAAAAAAAAAAAAAAAAAAAAACAATGGTCCCTTCCATTTTTACGGTCCACTGCAGTTTGCAGAAACTATTCACACGGAAACAGGTTTCATGATACCCAGGTTACTGGTGAGGAAACTGAGTCACGTTAAGGTGAAATGACTCCCAGCTTATTGCTGTCAGAGCCTTTCGGACAGCACCCCATAAATGTCTCATTCACACACCTCAACTCACCTCACGTAAGCAAAGTGTCAGCAGTGGCCTCAAAGCACATGGATTACCTCTGATGGTAAGGAGGACCTGGTTTGACAGGGTCAGATAGGGGAGGGAGCTTTATTACTGTTTTATGGGCCTCAGTTGTCCTGTAGCCTTCATCAGTCGGTGATGAACACAGTGGGAAGACAGCAGACTTCGAAATTAACTAAAATTTTATTCGTTAAAATGAAATCACAGGTGGAAATTAGATACCTGTGGAAACAAACATTCTTTAGGTCAGGAACTCCCCATTGTGCTGATTTCACAGGACAGCCACTGGAACTGGCATAATAGCCAACAAGCCACTGTTGGATGCACAATGGATTGCTACTTACTCCTGGAAACAGACTGTTTGAACAAGAATGGTGCATTTTAATTGCCTCTTAGTAAGATGCTTTGTCTTTTTCTTCCTACACCTTGGTCCCATTGGCACTTACCCCAATGCTGGCCCGAGTTGTAATAGATTCGGAATAGACATATTTATGTATTAATAATAATAAAGATAAATTATGTTTGCAGGTTCTCTCCTCTAGATTTTATCTCCATAACATTTCTGGGGCATATTCAGGGGAGGTGTTATTATCTCTATTTTATTGATGATGAAACCAAGGCATGGTAAAGTCAGGAGGTTTTGCAAAGTTCCACGGGTGAATGATGACTCCAGCTCTAGTTTTGTTTATTGGACAACAGCCTGCTCTGTGTATAATAAACCACACTTGCTACAACAAGAAACTCATGTGCTAAGGAAAGAAGACATGGCCATTCTTGTGGATTCTGTCCCTACCAGCTGTGCATTCTTAACTACTCTGAGACACGGTTTAGTCATCCTTAAAGTGGCAAAATAGTAGCTATTCTTATCTATAAAGCTTTGGTGGGGATCTATTGAGATAATGCATAAGGAATTGCTTTGAACTTATACACAGTCTATTCCTCACCTACAATCCTTGAATGGGCTCCAGTGTTCTGTAAGTCCTATAACATTATGCAAAATTTGGTGCTTACTTGCATATAATGCATTTTTATGGGAAGAATGCTAAAAAATTTTATAAGATTTTCAAACTTTTCTGTGGTTTAAAAATAAATGAGAATTATGCAAAACATTATGCAAGGTAATTGTACCGGCATTATTCATACCCAATGCCTTTTCTGATATTCTAGCATATTCCTTTTAGAAAATGTGGGAAATACAAAAAAGTATCAGAAGAGAATAATAATCATCTAAAAACACACTATTTAGCAAGAACTCATATACCCATGTTACAATTTTGGCTGACATCACATTGCAGCT